GTAGTTCTTCAGTATTTATCTCAAAACTGTTTTAGTGATGCCATAGTAGTTTAACTGTGACAGCTGCAGTGGAATTTTCCTATTGATTCAGATAGTGCATGCTGTTACAGTACATGCCTACAGTGCATCACTTATACAGACATTTGTCATTGTAGCCCCACTTTTGGGTATAATTGCAATTCACTCTGACACACACACACTGTTGCTAACACCTAGCCTGGTTCTGCTGGAAGTTTTTTCCTGTTAAATGGGAGTTTTTCCTCTCCACAGTCGCTACAGGCATGCTCGGTGTGAGGGATGGCCTTCGAGTTAATGCGTCAATGCAATCAGCTGATTTTCTTTAGATAGAAAACTTTGAACCAATTAGACCGTATGATCGGGTTGAATTGTCCTTTTAAAGTACTTTAGATGACATGTGCTGTGAATTGGCACTCTATAAATAAAGTCAATTGAATTGAGTTGAGTCCTCCAACACTTCAGCAGCACCAGATTCAGGTATTGCTGTGTAAAGCAAACAGCTCAAAATAAGGCTCTGGCCCACTGAGCAGCACAAAGTCTTCCACAACTAAAATGTATTTGTATATCACACTTCAGCAGCAAGAATATTCAAAAAGCTTCACATTTAAAAAAAAAAAACTTTGGAAAAAACGTGCAGTAAAATCATACCGATAATTAAAAGCATTAGTGGAGTACAGAGTGAATCATCAAAAGAATCATCACACAAAATCACAACAGCTATCAACCAGATACACATTTGCCTCTTAGTTTCTCGGCTGCTTCTATTATTAATGCTCTCTTTACTGCAATTTTTTTCATAGTAGGTTTGCAGGTGAGTTGTGCCATGATTTACTGTTTAGACTATGACTTAGAATTAGCTCTATGTGATGTTCAAAGCTTTGAATATTGTTCTAAAGCTTCAACTCTGTTTTATTTATATCCAAATATAAAAATGTTTAAACTATTTACAAAAAATAACAAAGGGTATTTTTTTCAAACTCTTTAATTCACTAGAATTGTATTTATAAAATGGGTTCTTCAGAAATTGTCTGATGATGTACATCTTTGTAACTGAAGGCATGCAAATGTGTACAAAATGTTAACTCATGAACCATGTGCAACAAATTCAATGGAAGATTTCCTAAGTTAAGACATTATCTAAAACAAGCAGGGGAGTTTGCTTGCATGTAAAGGGTGAATTATATGCCAATCCTCTCTTTTAGGTTATAGGACACAAACAGTTAAACTACTGATGTGACCTTTTAAGAGTTCCTTCATTTCTGAGCATTATTCCTCAGTTCCTATCTTAGCCTGACTGCCTCCCTCAATAAATTATGCATACTGATTGATTCCCAGCAGATGCTGGAGGATGGGCCTTTTTTCATGAAAATAAACAAGAGAAATTATACACCATGGAAGCATACAAGGAGCCTATAAATAGAAGCTTGTATAGATGCTTGTTTAGCCCAGGGATGCAAAGTTGCATTTTAACAGGTCAGACAAAGTAAAGCATCTGCATTGAAATGGAGTCTTCCTCTGTCTTATTATACAGAAATTGGTCATAGATGAGAGAGAAACTGAGTGCAGAGGTTACGCCTGAGTCATAGGTTTACTTATTTTACTGATTCATCAAGTTGGGGGTATTATGTGAGGCTCCCTGTAGGGATATTTTTTTGTGTCTTTAAAAATGGGTTTGGAGATGTTTCTGTTCTGTTCTACACTCTGTTTTTTACCACATACTTCTGTGTATCCTATTGGAATTTTAGGTGAAACCGACAAAAAAGGGATAGCCTAAAGTGGAAGGGAAAAAAAAACAAGAATATCAAATCTTTACCCCAATAAAAATCTGAAATGTGTTATTACATTTCCATTAAAATGCCAAGAGTCAACATTTAAATGACCCTTTCTTGTTGTCATTACAGGTAGAATATTTTAGGGATTATCTCTATCAGCTTTGAACATTTTGTCAATTAAATTAGCTTTATTTTGACTGCACATTTTTTAAGCTTAACTTGTATTACTTCGTATTTTTCTTTTTTCATAGGCTTTGACTAGGTCTAATCTAAACCTTTCTGCTGTAGCTCCAGCTGTACATTTATGGTCATTGCACTGCCTGAAAGTGAGCCTCATTATTGGTTTCTCCTACCTCTAATTGGTTGCCTTCAGATATTTCCCCGTATTTCCATATCTGGTCAGAAGAAAAAAGCTTTCCAACAACAAAATTCTACTACTATTTCACATCAGGTCCCTCTTTCTTTGCTTTATGTGCATTATTGTGTTTTCCCTTCCCAAAGTGTTTTGAATGTAGGCTAAATTTCAGTTTTGTTCATCAGACAAAGGCTTCTTCCACATACTTCATCTACTGTGTTGATTGTGGAAAACTTCTAATCAGAATATTTTATCTTCTATGGCCTTCTTCTTGTTATTTTTCCATAAATTGTATTTTTTTTTTTACAATGAGAAACAATTAATAATGATTGTGTAGATAGATTAGCCCACCTAACCTGTGGATCTCTGCTGCTCTTCAGGTGCCATGGGCCTCTTTGCTGCTTCATTGATTTATGTGATCCTTAGTCTGCCTGTTAATGTGGGCCTAATTGGATAGACATGTCTTAGTAGGTTTGTGGTTTCTTTTCTAAAACTTAGTAATTAAAGATAATGGATAAAGCATTTTTTTTTTATGTCAATGGCCTGGGACATTGCTTTATAACCTAAACCTGCTTTAACCTTTTCCAAAGCTTATATGAACTGTCTGCTGCTCTTTATTAAAAAAGGTCCAAGAGCTTTACACAAAAGATGCTTTCAAACACAGATGGATGGTGTTTAAATATGAATAACCTTCATATCTGACAGAAATTGGTTTTAGTAGATTTTTTTAAAAGAGTATTAGGATGAATTTTAAAAACATCAGTTCTGCCACTTATATTAGCCTGTTAGATAAAAATCCCAATATGCTATACTGAAGTTAAAAGTTCTTATGTAAAAAAGAAGTGGAAAGGTTTAAGGAAGAGTAGATTCTATGAAAATTAATCAAGAATACAAACTACTATCGTGGCAGGCGGCCAGCTGAGTGATGCGTGCGGTTTTAAAACGCCCCCGCATTCTGTCCTTCTCTTTAGGTGTCCCAGTGATCACTCGGCTTTCTACTCATCAGGTCTGGCGTGTTCTTGCCGTATTCCATCCCTCTCTCCTCGTCTTCCTCCTCTCCCTCCTCATCCTCCCCTCCCCTTGCCTCTTCCGAGTTCGATGAGATCGGCTCTGGGCCCTGCCGTGAGTCCTCGGTGCGGGCGACAGCGCTGCTGAACATGGCGTCAGACGGGATGATTTTAACGAACCACGACCACCAAATCCGGGTCGGAGTCCTGACAGGTAAACGGCACAGCTGCCAATCTGTTTATTCACATGGCTCTCATCTTTCCGTGGGTTGATTTTACGCCGGCTGTCTGTCCTGATTTCTACAGATGTCTGCTGGATTTTTTTTTTCCTACTTTGCGCGGCGGCGGCGTCTCTCGTTCTCTCGCTTGGGTTTTTGCATCCTCTTGGAGGCGACGCAGACTTACTGCCTGTTTGTTTTTTTTCCCTCTCCCCTCACACATTGGCTCAATGTAAAATCCAGTGTATTTCATACACAAAAAGGCTTTTTAAACTGTAAATGTATTTTCCAGCCAACCCCCTTGCTTGGGGAAAAAGGCGCACAGTTTATGTGTACTGAATAATTCATGTCTCTATCAGCTTGTCAGAGCTAGGGGGGAATTATTGCTCATGGTTTGTTGTTGGGTCACTGATAAAGATGCTCAAAATTGCGGTCTTGACTTCCAATTGACCACAGCGATTTTCGAAATGTTGCTCAACACAGTTGCGTTAAGGTAAATGATGAGCGCATTCTTGGCCCTTTTTTTTAACAGCAGTACGTGACGTTTGGAAGAAAATCTAAAAAAAAAAAGAAAAATGCTTAACGGACATCGGATTTTTGCATATGCTGGGTCAATGAGGAGAGCTTTGGTTCAACACGCTTGGAAATCCTGACATGCCCATTTAATTCAGCGAGATCACAGCGCGTCTCCGATGTTGGAAGCGTTATGCGGATGTTGCTGGAGCTGGTCGCCGCCGGCCTTCACGTTTCCCATCCTTCACATCTGTGTGGGTTTGTGTGTGTGTTGCTTTGTTATGCATGTGTGCGTCAATCAGGCGAATCCAGTGGTTGCGGTCATGATCAGCGAGTAAATGAAACATATTTTGCGGGGAATGTAAGGGAGGAGGGAGCTGGTGGGGGTTTGGGGGGGGGGTTTGCTGGGGTTGCTTGGGTGGATACATGAGAAATGCTGTCCTAACCCCCCCCTCCTCCCATCCACTCGGCTTCGCTTCTCTCTGTCCATCCAGTGTGGGGCAGGGTCGATCAATATTGCATGAAAGCCACGAAACCCCCCCTTCTCCATCCCCCAACACACACACCTGCCCACGGATAGGTTAGTCGTTTCCCTTCTATGGAAATCCGCAAAAGGGAAAAGAGGAGGAGATGTTAGGAATCACTGTGTAAGACCTTCCACTAAAATCTGTCAGGGAAAGCCCCTCCACCGACAGCACTACAGCCACTCTTCCTCCACCCCTCCTTTCCTCACCAGCGCGTTGGTAGGAGTCAGAGCGCTGTCCGCGGTGCTGAAATCCAGCACTGCTTACAAATCAGTGCGGCACTCAGAGACGGCTCAAGCTTTTATGAGGACCTGAGAAGAATCTCCATTAAGGGGCAACTTTTTCATATTTATTTGTTTTAATTTCTTATAAAGCTACATTACCATATCAGACTGAACTGTTCATAATGTTTCTCATTTTGTAAAGTAAATGGTAAAATTAAGCAGCTTTGCATGGGTTTCTTTTTTTTTTTACCTCTAGAAGGAAGGGTTTACCTATCCTACACCTACCATCTTCTTTAAAAGATGTTTCTCTTCAACCTCTTTTTTCACAAATTGCTTATAATTCAGTCACATGGCATTTATACCTTGTGGAGATGACTAGCTCAGATTAATTATTCAATTTAGAGAACGACGGATGATTTTGAATGAATCACTGTTGTTGTATGAATTTGAGATAGTTACCAATTCATCTGGTTTAGCAGAGCTATCAGTCAGATGCAGTTGTATGACAATACTTTTTTTATTGTTAAAGGAAAATTCAGATCAGTTTGTAAGGTAGAGATTACAATCCAGGCATATGATTTGCTATACTTTGGGACCCTTACTTCTAATTGAGTATTATTTTAGTACATAACCCTACATAAGTACTGCCGATGAACACTTAAATCCCCTTATGATAAAAAAGAAATCATCTTCTACTCATTTCTTTCAAAAGGATTTCGCACCATTCCACAAAGCCTAAATACTCCTAAACAGGACTTTTTGGATCATGACAATGTTTTCACTATAAGCAAATGGCCTTGACAGTCTCAAGACTGCTGTAAAAGTGAATGGCTTTGGTATAATATTCATACTAAAACACCTTGTGTACCCCAAGCCATGAAAATAATAAGGGAAATAAAGAGAAAACATGACCAGACCTGACAATAGCAAAACGTATTTGATTATATACCTCAAAAGTGTTTTTTCTTTTAACTTTTTTTTTTAAGATATGAAGTTTGATAAGCAATAGGTTTAACTCAGACTAATTACAGTTTTTGGTTTTGTAAAAAAGATAAATACAGGATGTCCTGTCTTTGCATTTCAGACACACTATAAGTGGGATGGTTCCATATGGAAGTGTGTTTAACTTAAATGGGTGTTTGTAAGTGAATTTATCTCTTGGTGAGCTGCTGGTGTTGGTAAGTTGAGGTGCTGAGGTAGCTCAGACGCTCAAACGTCACATACCCCTACCCGAGGCTCTTTAAAGCCCCTGAAGCTTTTTCAAAAATTCTTTTTTTTGTTCTAATATGGTGTGCAGGCGGTCAAACCAACATTTATGTTTTGGAATATGTAAACATTTGAATAATAAATTATTTCAAACAATAAATGTAAACATTTCTTTCTACAAAAATTTGCATCATAGCCATAGAGATCAGTGGTCATAGCCTGCAACACACATTTTAGGGTTTCACAGTGCCTGGCATAAAAGCGGCGGGTGAGTCTCAGGCATTGGATCCCAAGGGACAAAAGGAAGATACCTGATGAGGACAGGGTATTCAAATTAAAATGCACCAAATCATTTGCTTTCATTATCAATATGGAAGGGTTGCCTTCAGTTTTGCTTTGTATTGAGAGATTGTCAAATAATTAGACTAATTTGTGAAGGCATGCTCAATATGCAGTCGACCATCAAGTTGGGAATCATAGAAAAGGTGTGATTGCAGAACTTCTCGATAAATGAGAGGAGAGCAAAGCAAAGATAGATGTAAGAAGTGGATTGCATCTCCAAATCCACTACTGCCGCTGGTTTTCTTGCAAGCCTGGAAAACCATCCACAGATCGAACAGGTAGTACTCTTATGCAGGTATGTGAACTTTCTTCAATTTTTTTCCCCAAATCCTCAAAATAGAAATAACACCAAGGATTGCTGTGAGATTTTGGGGTTACTGTAGTGAGCACTGTTCTGATGGATGTCAGTTTCTTCTTGGTTCCTCATGACTCAATCAACTCCTCCCAACAGAAACACATCCTCCATAGAAAGTTTCCTTTATCGTGTTTTCATCAATGCAACAAAACCTAAGCCACACGTTGAAGGGTGAGGAAGCGGCGTGCGGTGAATTCCACACGGTGAGAGGGTTCAATGCTCTCCTCTCACCTCATGCTGCCATGTGACATTTGTTCCTAGATAAACATTTAGTCATGAATGCTTAGCATATATTTAAGCCCACATAGTCTTTTTTTTTATAATGGGCTAATATACTTAGAGCCTGTGTTGCCATACGAGGCTTATATAAGACTTTTACATTTTTGCAGCTCCAAACAGATTTGTTTTTTGTTTTTTTTGGTCCAATATAGTTCTCTGACCCTCCGACCCTTGCCCTAGATAAACAAAACAAGGCATTACCTCAGGGCAGAAATACACTCTGCATAGAGGTAGGTCCTCAAGAAAGGACAGGATGTACACAGTGAAACATGAAACCGACCTTATCTAATTTTTTTTCCTTCTCTTTCTCGCACACGGGTTTAAAAATGATCACTTATCCTCTCCCAAAATGCCGCCTCTGTTTTGATACTTAGCTTACACCACTAAATACTTTCATAGTTACACCTAAGCTAGTCTCCATGTGGATGGGGTCTTAGGAAGAAAGGCCACCTTATATCCTACCCACCAAACTAGATAACTGTAGTCATTATGGCTTTCAGGCACCTTAAAACAGCTTCATGAGCTGCAGGCCATCCAACAGGAGCTCACCACTTCTTGATGTGGCAAAAGCCCAAAGACGAACACAACGGGGGGGCAACCTCTTTGTGTTTTGTATACACTTCTTGTGAACCTGTCATTCAAGTCGTATTCTTTTCCCATAAGTTGAAATTTATGCTTATATCACAATTCCAGTTTTATTTTGAAGAAATGTTTTCTGCAGGAATCTAAGGGAGTTTTTTTTGGCTATTATTGTTGCCGCCATATGTTTTACTAAATTTTGAAGAGTTTTTTTTTGTTTGTTTTTGTTTTTTGTTGGTTTCTTTTGCTAGTTGTATGGAGCTAATGGTGGTGTAGGTTATCTTACACCACCATTTACATTTAAAAATGTAGTACAACAATTCTAAAAAGGATTGTTTTTGTATGTTTTGCATAAAATTTCCACCCACTGGCTTAGAGAGACTGAAGAACTGATGTTTTAGTGGTTCATGTTTAAAGGTGATGCTTTTCTCCCATCAGATTTCAATATAATCAGTACAAATAAGTTATACAATTATTTGTATCAAAATCATCATACATTTCGTTTCGTTTTTCCCATGCTGTCATACACTTTTGCACAGTAGGGGTGCAGATACAGCCCCGCCTCCCTTGCAGTGGGTAACCTGTTCAATGACGCCTTACAGTAAACTGACTGTAAGTTTAAATTTTGTATAACCTTGCAAGTATGTTTAGAGACAAGGCTTTCTCAAAATGTTTAGTAAAAAAAAAAATCCAGAAGAAAAAACAACATAGTATTTTGGAGGTGTTTAACTTAAGAGGTGCTTATGTAAGCTGTACTACAGCACAGTGACCCAAATCTGAGTAATATTACATTCTTGGCATCATTTCCTAAGGACCAAACCATCTGATGTTTATTGAGAGGTCAAAAATACAAATAAAATGTAGTGTCTTAAGCAATGAAATTTAAAGTAAAGTATTACCTACTTAATGATTGCTCTGTTATAGCTCTGCTACCCCAGGCAGATATGAGTCCAATTGTGTGGCATATACAAAAG